CACAGTCAGCTAAAGTGGCCTGCAGTACTGCACCCTAACCACTGCGCCACCTCGGCTCTTAATAATCTTGTAGTTCTGAAACTACTAATCTCCTGCCATCTCCTTTACAGCCTGAGAACTTGCTGGGGGCAAGTGTCCCTTCTGATCCTCTTTCTCTTTCCATTATATAGCTGCAGGTTATGTCCTCCCATATCTGACTATTTTCTAACAGCATCTCTTCCCATTTCCCAAGGTTATTTCCATATATCAATACTTTAAAGGACCAGTAATTAATTTTTTTTAAAAAAATATAGCCAAAATAAAGTAGTATTGAAACATAGGTTCCAATGGAGGAAAATTCATTTGCTTGAGCCACTGAAATCAGATGCATACAAGATATGTTACTCAATACTCCTCTTGAGTTCAGTAAGAGCAAACTCCTCTCCATAGAAATATATAATATTACAGTATTGCAATAAACTGGATGTGGAGAAATGGAAAATTAGGTGGGACCATCCCTGACAGACCTGTGCACAAAGCAGTATAGCCTTAACATTTTCCATACCTGATCCAAAATGTACAACTTACTTCTGATTTCTGTTTTTGATGTTAAAGAACAAAAATGCACTGGCCATGATCATTCCCAAGATAGTAAGTGCTGAAAGAATACTGTAGAGAGGCAGAGAAATCTTACGAAGTTGCTTTTGGATAATTGTTCTATCCTTTGGAGGTTCTTTCCCTACAGTGAAAAGAAAAAAAAAGTGAATAAGTATAACTGGCTATCCCAGTTTTGTATATTGAACCTTATTTTCAACGTATCTCTCTCTTAGGAAATGATAAGTTAGAGGTAAATTGCAGAAGTCCAGTATCTTGTGCTCCAATGAGCGGTGCATTCTTGAAACTGAATCTTGAAACTTTTTAGGCACTGGTCAAAATTGGGAGAACTTGAATGATGATACACCGGTCTCATAGAATCATAGGGTTGGAAGGTTGGAATTCAACCCTTCTAGTTAATCCCTCTGCCCCAGACAAGAGTTCTTATTCCATCCCAGACAAATGGTTATCTAATCTTTTCTTGAAAACCTCCAGCAATGGAGCACCGGCAACTCTAGGAGGCAAGCTGTTCCATTGTTTTCACGGTCAGGAAATTTCTCCTCATTTCCAGGTTGGATCTCTCTCTGACGAGCTTCCACCCATTACTTCTTGTCCTGCCCTCAAGTGCTTTGGAGAACAAACTGGCCCCCTCTTCCCAATGACAACCAAGTGTTGCAATATGGCTATCATGTCACCCCTAAGCAGAGGTGGGTTCCTACCAGTTCGCACCTATTCGGTAGAACCGGTTCGTCAAATCTACCGAACCGGTTAGAAGAGGTTCCACCAGTG